TTTATGTGTGTGTGTGTGTTAGTTTGTGTGTGTGTGTGTTAGTTTGGCCATTTACAGCTCTTTGGGAATGTGTTTGAAATCAGATTGGGGGATGATAGTGGGGGCTGGTTCGAATCTTCTTGACGGCGAAGAACCATCTGGCAATTTAAAACCCCTATACGAACGTAAAGTCTCTGACCAGAACTGTAATTTATATGCAAATGTCAAAAGGCTAAAAGGGGTCTCTTAAGCCATAAACAGTCCAACGCTCATGCATGATCCTACGCAGACGCTACATATTTATATTTAAATAATTTGCCACTGACGATTCAAACGCGTGTTTTGGGCAGTGTAGAGTAGCGCTTGTTGTTTGTCGTTTCTCCGATCACAAATGCAGACATGGTTTTATGTTTACGTGGCATGATACGCAGCGTGTAAAAAGACAGTATAAGTCATTATAATCAGTAATTATGTCCCCACTGGATGCAACAAATGCCTCATTTATAATGGGTTTTATTGGTTTTGTCTTGTCGCGCCAGGACACGGCATCACGTTAAGGGGCGTAACATTTCCATCACACGCTTGAGGCATTCAGCCAATCACAACGCACTGGATAGCTGGCCAATCAGAGCACACCTCGCTTTTCAGAACTATGAGCTTTGTAAAAATTTACGCATTTCAGAAAGGCGGGGCATAGAGGAGCAACAATAAAAAAATTATTTTCCACATAATGTGTTTTTTGAACCTTAAACTGCATAAACACATTGCATTACACCAAATACACAACATAATGTTATTTTAGCAACGTCATATGACCCCTTTAGAAAAGATAATAACCTGTTTTTTTAAAGAAAATTTAAATGATAAATAATTTTTACAATTCTATTCTATTCTATTGTTCGTGAAAAACACTTTACAGTCATTTTGAAAAAGATTTAAAAATAACATGATGATTTTTGCCTAGTGACAGTTTTTTTTGGAGGACTCTTATATAATAATTTCAGGTTCTCTGTAAATCTGTGTGTCCAATCAAAGAAATGAGGGTAGCAACAAATATGTGACTTTTAAAAAAAAATTATTTACTGTACTTTTTCATCAAATAAATGCAGCCTTTGTGAGCGTAATATAATAAATATAATATAATATAATAAGGGCTGTCAATCGATTAAAATATTTAATCGCGATTAAGCGCATGATTGTCATGAGTTAACTCGTCATTAATGGCAACATAATTGCACATTTTTATCTGTTCTAAATGTACCTTAAAATAATACTTTTCAAGTTTTTAATACTCTAATCAACAAGGGCATGGACAAATATGGATGCCTAATGTAAATGTATGTTTATTATTAGTGAAATCATAGTGAGCATAGAGCATGAAGACTAGACATGTTTCAAAGGTCATATATGTTTTTCAAAGACCTTGTTCATGTCTATTAGACACATGAAAAAAGAACATAGAAATACCAGGTTCCCATTGCTTCTCTTTCTTTGCACTGAGCAGTTAATTTACTTACACAAGCCTGTTTACATTATTTGCACGACAGGGCAGCTCACTTCTTCTGAACATGCTAAATGTACATTTATTATTACATTTGTTTGCCTCTGTGCCCACATACTTTATTTCAATGCAGCTAAATTCTCAATAAAACTGTTTTCATTTATATGTTTTACTGTTTCTGTTGTCAGACAACAGAATTAATATGAAATAGTGACTGAAACGCGATCCTTTAAGACTACATAACCAGCTCTCCCTTCCAAAATCTTAATCTGCATAAAAATCTTAATTTCTAATCGTGCCGTCATCTGATGAAATCAAATAGGCTACACATAAAATAAAGACAATAGCTGTGCTGTGATTTCGGCTATACTTGTATGTAAAATTAGAGAAGCAACATACACTGAACAAAATTATAAACACAACACTTTTGTTTTTACCCCCATTTTTCAGGAGCTGAACTCAAAGATCTAAGACTTTTTCTATGTACACAAAAGGCCTATTTCTCTCAAATATTGTTCACAAATCTGTCTAAATCTGTGTTAGTGAGCACTTCTCCTTTGCAGAGATTATCCATCCACCTCACAGGTGTGGCATATCAAGATGCTGATTAGACAGCATGATTATTGCACAGGTGTGCCTTAGGTTGGCCACAATAAAAGGCCACTCTAAAATGTGCAGTTTTATCACACAGCACAATGCCACAGATGTCGCAAGTTTTTAGGGAGCATGCAATTGGCATGCTGACTGCAGGAATGTCCACCAGAGCTGTTGAATTTAATGTTCATTTCTCTACCATAAGCCGTCTCCAAAGGCATTTCAGAGACCGCAGACCACATGTAACCACACCAGCCTAGGACCTCCACATCCAGCATCTTCACCTCCAAGATCGTCTGAGACCAGCCACCCGGACAGCTGCTGCAACAATCGGTTTGCATAACCAAAGAATTTCTGCACAATCTGTCAGACACAGTCTCAGGGAAGCTCATCTGCATGCTCATCGGGGTCTCGACCTGACTGCAGTTCGTCGTCGTAACCGACTTGAGTGGGCAAATGCTCACATTCGATGGCATCTGGCACATCTGGAGAGGTGTTCTCTTCATGGATGAATTCCGGTTTTCCCTGTACAGGGCAGATGGCAGACAGCATGTATGGCGTCGTGTGGGTGAGCAGTTTGCTGATGTCAACGTTGTGGATCAAGTGGCCCATGGTGGCGGTGGGGTTATGGTATGGGCAGGCGTATGTTATGGACAACGAACACAGGTGCATTTTATTGATGACATTTTGAATGCACAGAGATACCGTAACGAGATCCTGAAGCCCATTGTTGTGCCATTCATCCACGACCATCACCTCATGTTGCAGCCTGATAATGCACGGCCCCATGTTGCAAAGATATGTACACAATTCCTGGAAGCTGAAAACATCCCAGTTCTTGTATGGCCAGCATACTCACCGGACATGTCACCCATTGAGCATGTTTGGGATGCTCTGGATCGGCGTATACGACAGCGTGTTCCAGTTCCTGCCAATATCCAGCAACTTCGCACAGCCATTGAAGAGGAGTGGACCAACATTCCACAGGCCACAATCAACAACCTGATCAACTCTATGCGAAGGAGATGTGTTGCACTGCGTGAGGCAAATGGTGGTCACACCAGATACTGACTGGTTTTCGGAACCCCCCCGAACCCCCAATACAGTAAAACTGCACATTTTAGAGTGGCCTTTTATTGTGGCCAGCCTAAGGCACACCTGTGCAATAATCATGCTGTCTAATCAGCATCTTGTGAGGTGGATGGATTATCTCGGCAAAGGAGAAGTGCTCACTAACACAAATTTAGACAGATTTTTGAACAATATTTGAGAGAACTAGGCTTTTTGTGTACATAGAAAAAGTCTTAGATATTTGAGTTCAGCTCATGAAAAATGGGAGCAAAAACAAAAGTGTTGCGTTTATAATTTTGTTCAGTGTAATATGCGTTTTAACACATAGGTGTGTGCGCGCTGGGAAAGAGAGACCTTGCGCTCGCGCAACAGTACTGGTGAATCTCAGAAAACCCTAAAGATTTGTCGCTAGATGCTTTTTTTGAAAAAAAAACAACAACAAAAAAAAGTCACTAAAGCGCTAAGTTGGCAACACTGTTCAACCAGAAAATGCATGCTGCGTTAATCGTGTGTTAATAAAATTAGTGCCGTTAAAATGATTTTATGTTAACGCGCTATTAACGTGTTAATTTTGACAGCCCTAAATATAATACAAAAAACATTACTATATAATTTACATCAGCAATACAACCAGAAATCATAAAATAAAAGCCATCCAATAAAATTTTTTAATAAAAATAAAAACATAAATTAGTTACTGGCTGTATTCTATTCTATTCCAATTGTTGGTAAAAAATAAAACACCATAAAATAATTTTGAACAAGATTTAAAAATAATATATGATCATTTTTACCTAGTGACAAATTATTTTGTAGAACCCTTATGTAATAATTTCAGGTTCTCTGTAAATGTCTGTGTCCAGTCAGAGAAATGAGGGTAGGGTAACTTCTGGAACAAGGGGACAGTCAGTGGGGAGTTGTCTGGGCACACCTTTATCAGACGGACAGCCTCAGGCGATGAGCGGACCACTCAGATGAGCAGAGGACTGAGGGATGTGAAACTCTCAGTCTTAGCATCCAGCTTTTTTCACATTCCCAAAGGTCTGCTGTCCAGAGGGCAAACTGACAAGCAGATAACAAGAAAACAGCAGAGGATCGATATCGGCATCACAAATAACGCCACTACGTATGCGGCGAGGGATAGATGTCTGCGCAGAGGTTGAGGATTTTAGAAGGTGTGGACTAAATAAAAATCAAGAGCACAGCATCATGTTGCCATTTTTACCTGGAGAGACGGAGGAGGAAAACGAGAATACTCACTCGGAGAAGGGAGATGGAATTCTCTCTCACCTCAGGGAGCTGCCATTAACTCGCTGGGCTGTAATAGGAAGGCGGCCATGCTGCTGTTGCTAGGCGCTCACTTCTCCTCAGTTTGAGAGAGCAAACTCCCGGCTCCATCGGTCCACTAAAATCCACAAATAGGGTAAAATCATTTTCTAGTAGAGCAGAAATACAGATTTCCTTTCATAGTTTGTGGAGCTTGGTTTATGATTATTCAAAACCTCTAGTTTTAACTAGAAAACACAAAAATGAAATGTCTTGTCATTGGGTTACAAAACCTGTATGACTGACTTGCTTCTGTGGAAGACAAAAGAAGCCATTTTGAGGAATGTTTTAGCTGCTTTTTCCATACAATGAAAGACAATGGGGTCCAAACCAACATGCTCGGACCAATGAGCCGAGAACATTTTATGAAATATCTTATTTTGTGGACTTGGATGTGGGTTTTTTTCTTTAGAAAATGTCATATATATAAAATATAAAAATATAATTTTTAGTTTTTAAAATGTCGTTTTTATAAATTAAACAGTTTAAATATATAGAAAAATGGTTCCAAAAATATAGTTTAAATAAAATTTACATTATTTGACATTGTTTGAATAGCTTAATCCATATTGCAAGAACAAAACATCTTATATGATTTATTGTTTACCTCATTGTCTCTCAGCAGGTAATCTGAATGCAAAATATTGCTCAAATGTTAGTGTATGCACACACTTGTATACTGCACACATACACACAAGCTTTTCCTGTTGCCTCATTATGAGTGAAAATGGTGCCCTCACTCTCTTTCTCATTTGCTCTGCGGGTCCCCAGCTGATACATAATTGAATATACGATAACGAAGTTCGTGAGAAGGGCAAACAGTGACATCCACACACCCAAAACTGAAGTCTCAGAGGGCCAGCAGTCTCCTCATCACTGCTTATTTAAAGGCTGTCAGTCAACGCCTTAGGGATATTACTGCTGTAAGCACATCACATAAACACAAACTAAAGGATAAATACATGAACCAAATACCAGACATAAAGTTAAAAATGTTAACAGTGTCTGGCTAATACATAATATATTACAGTTATATAGCCGTTATATATACATATACATACATACATACAGTGGGTACGGAAAGTATTCAGACCCCCTTAAATTTTTCACTCTTTGTTATATTACAGCCATTTGCTAAAATCATTTAAGTTTTTTTTTTCCTCATTAATGTACACACAGCACCCCATATTGACAGAAAAACACAGAATTGTTGACATTTGTGCAGATTTATTAAAAAAGAAAAACTGAAATATCACATGGTCCTAAGTATTCAGACCCTTTGCTCAGTATTTAGTAGAAGCACCCTTTTGATCTAATACAGCCATGAATCTTTTTGGGAAAGATGCAACAAGTTTTTCACACCTGGATTTGGGGATCCTCTGCCATTCCTCCTTGCAGATCCTCTCCAGTTCTGTCAGGTTGGATGGTAAACGTTGGTGGACAGCCATTTTTAGGTCTCTCCAGAGATGCTCAATTGGGTTTAAGTCAGGGCTCTGGCTGGGCCATTCAAGAACAGTCACAGAGTTGTTGTGAAGCCACTCCTTCATTATTTTAGCTGTGTGCTTATAAAATAATAAAGAATAACCAGTGTTTTTAGTATACTTGAACAGATTTTTGACTGTATTTTCTGCACTGCAACAGCAACATCAAAGTGCACAAAAAAAGCAGTTGTAATTTGAGTGTTACTGTGTCAACTCTACTAGCACCATTGGCTCTCAGCTTTAGTAATTAAACCATTCCCCCCACTGCCATCTACAAAATCAGCACTGCGCCGATAAACCAGCAGCTTTCACTCTGTCATTACGCCACCAGCGAGATCAACCGGGAGCGGCGGATATAGAAACTGATTTTTATGTCATTCCTCTTTGACCTCCGCTGTGACAGCTGTAAATCTAACTGTGAAATCAGGGAGTGAAAAGGAGATAGTCATGCGAGAGACAGAGGGTGGAGAAGTTTTGCTGGCTGCCACAGTGGCGGTTTGAGGGGAGAAGCTGCTTGTATCGCTCTGCGACTGGCTGCAGCAGGGTGCCCTCTGGGTAATTGCCTTTCCACATGGGCTCTCTATAATGGCTCTGCTGCTCTCCATGCATATATACGTGTGCAAAAACACACTTGCATAAACAGACACACAGCCACTTGTAACAGCAGCATTATTCATAGTTTTAATATAATACTGAGTGGATCAAGGACAAGTAACAAAAACTAACAAAGGCAGAAGGTGATAGGCGCAATGTTAATGAGGTTCACGGCAAGAATTACAGCTTACAAAACGCTGTCGGAAACTTGAAAAATCAGACAATTCAATCTAGAGACAGCGTAGGCGGAAACCCTGGAAAATCAAAGTGCAGATGAAATCGGAAAGCAGCCCACTGGTTGTTTTCAATAGGATGAATTTGGATCCAATCTGCAAAAATTCACATGCTCGGCTCGGTCTAAGGTGGAGCCCGTCGGAAACGACAGACTGCCAGCGCTCAGCTAATTTGGTCTGATTGTGTGTTTTGCTTTCATCGAGTGAATTTTGCAAAGGCACTCAAAACACAAACACATTAGGAAACCTCTCGCGTGTTATGAGCAAACTCTCCCTCTGAGTGCCAGGCCCATAATTATCAACAATCAAAGATTACAATTGCCCATCTAATCGGGATATTATTTATGGACGGCCATTAAGAGTTTTGCGGCATAAACTTCACATGTAATTGCCAATTGTTAATGACAGTTTGGGTTTTTGTCTGTTCAGTCACTCAGCGACAAGGTTCAGACAAGGTCCCTCACTCCGCTAATGATACATTACAAACCTGATTAACGCTATTAAAGTCACATTGGCTCGGAAGACAGGGAACACAATTATCTGCAGGTTTGAGGAGGAGGGACTTGAGAGTTGATCAAAATTTTGATGACGGTCCCTGATGGACACAGCCCATTGATTTTTTCCCCCCTCAACTCATTTCTCTTTTGCCAGCAGGAGATGAACGTGATCTGAATGGCCACCTGATGCACACAAATCAAGCCCTCAGCACTGAAGAAATAGAAAATAAATTAATACAAATTATTATTAATATATATATATATATCTATAAAATCATATCAGCAAATTGTAGCATTTAAATTTCTGTTTACCATTTAAACTTGCACACAGTCTATGATTAATACAAAGTAATAAACATAAACTTAAGACTATTTATCCGGTACAAAATGAGGATCGATAAATGTAATATAAATAATTGTAATATAAAATTATTATTATTATTATTGTTTTAGCTGTTGTACCAATTTATATAAAAAATAAATTAAAATAAATGCTACCATTTGCTGCTATGATTCTACATATATAGATAGCAATTATTTATAATTGCACATTCTATGATTTATACAGAGTAATATACATAAACGTAGGACTATTGATCTGATACGAAATGAGGATCTTAGTTGGGGTGACTGCATTAGCCATATTCAGATAAATAAATATAAATGATTATTTTTATAAAATATTATTATTAGTAGTAGTAGTTGTTAAAATAATAGTTTAAAAGATATTTAAATTATTTAAAGAAAGATTCTTTTTTTTTACTTAAAATTGCACACATTCTACGTTGGAACTAGAATGAATCGTTTTCCTAAATGAACCAATTCACTAAAATGTTGACTTAAGTTAGCAGACTGTGTGCCATTAAAACAATTATATGATCAGCAAACAACCTTATTTAGTTGTCAGACAACATATTCAGAGAGCTGAAGCCTTCTGAATCCCCCATAACCAATATTTTCATGTGAAGCCTATACATTCTTTGTTCAATTTCCTACTTCCAACCTCAGTCTCTGGTGTTAATGACCTAGACTAGCAGCAAAACAGACTTGATACATTTTAGGTCACTTGAGCCTGGCACAGTTTCCAACAGCAACTGAAACAGAATCCACGTTCGACATCCTGTTGGCAGCACTCCAGTCATTAGGAGCTGCATACGTTTCCCGATCTTGCTGAAAAAGTTGAGTGTTTAATGCTTCTTTTCACCTCTGAGTTTCCCCATGAATGAGATTCATTAATTTGAGCCCAGTATGAAGGGATGGAGAGAGTCTCAGTCAGCCGGTCGCTGCTTTTTCTCCATCTCCACATTGGGTCTGTAATTGAATTCCTGCTTCTAACAGCGGGTACAGGGGTGTATTAATGTGGTGTGTGCTGTGAGCTAAAGCACACTGGAGTGTGTAAGATGTGTTATGGAAGAGCACAGAACTGACACTGCATGACGGATACAGAGGAGCAGAGAATATGGTCTTCTTTTCTTCAGTGGGGTACAAATTCAGAGATCTGGTACAGAATGACTGCGGATAATTAACTTCACAGGAGGACGGCTTGTTTTTTTTGATGGAAAAGCATTCTTACATTTTTACAGAACATCCCACAAGGTTTCATGAGCACTGTACCTTCGTTTCGAACTATCTGAAGATTGTCGTCATCTATTGAAAGCTCAGTCATTAGAGGTTTCTGTCGTCCTCTAGAGCTTGCGTTTTCAATCAGGAGTTTGTGAAAAAGACATAAAACCATCTGAATCCAGATCCAACGTTAACATTAATGAATGCATTCATGAAATAAAAATGACCAATACCTGTGTATCCTGACCTGAAGATCTTAATTAGCTGCTTCAGGTGCGTTTGATTAAGGTTGGAGCTGAACTTTGCAGGAAGGTAGATCACAGAAACACGCTGATTCAGACTATTGTTAATTTCTGTAAATTATCACTAGGGCAGTGCCCTTAAAGAGACATTTTTCTGTCTTATCTACTCCTAAAAGGTGCATATTAGTATCTTAGAGTAGTAATATGTACCCTTAAGGTGCTACTATAAATCTTTTAGTGGTACATAAGGTACAAATATACCCTTTTGAGAGTACTGACCTAGATGAAAGTTACAATTTTTGCATATTTTTAACATTTTAAGTTGTATAATTTATATATTCATTAATTTATATACCATAAACAAACATGAATTAACAATGAACAATAGTATATTTATAAACAAAGAAAATACACTGCAGTTCAAAAGTTTGGGGTCAGTAAGATTTGAAAATGAATACTTTTATTTAGCAAGAATGCATTAAATTGATTAAAGATGACAGTAAAAGCATTAATATTGTTTCAAAAGATTTCTATTGCAAATAAATGCCGTTCTTTTTAATTGTCTATTCCAAGAATCTTGAAAAAAGGAATACATTACATTTAAAACAGAAATATAATATAGATGTTAAAATAGAAATAGTTGTTTTAAACTATTAATGAGCATAAGAAACCTTTTTCCAAAAATATATATAAAAAGTCATACTCATCCCAAACATTTGGTGAAATTATTTATAATGTTATAATAATTAAGGCCAACTGTTTCTGTTTTTCACTGGCCTCACCACAAAATATATATTTAAATTGTTTTTGCAATGTATTTTTATATTTTATAGACATTCATTACATTTCAATAAAACATTTCAAAAAAACATTTTGACACAAATTTTTTTTATTTTCTTTACACAAAACAGCTACATATGCATTGTAAAAACTGATTTTTCAAAATGTAAAACTTTACGTAAAATGAAAATTATGTATAGAATACATTTGACAAGAATACACTTTCAGTTTTTGCACTTTAAAATTTCAATTCTTTTTGTAAAATACCAGTATGGAAATTATACAGCTGTAATGTGACTCCACTTTTGCATGGCAATGGCATATAATGCAAAACAGTACTGAATGATTTGTAGTTTTCAACACAGTCTTACTGATGCTTTCAAGAACAGAACGAGTCACGTTTGCCCTTAAAAAAACTCATCCATGTTAGCCAGCTAGATAACACTTTGTCTTGGTAACAAATCAGCAGAATTGTAAAATGTAATGTAATGTAAAATACATCATAAGACAAAACACGTCAAAGACAAAACGAGTTTGAAAGGCATAAACATGAATTTAAAAACTTGAATGCAATGCAAAACTGTAAACCTGTGCAAACTTATTTGGAAACACCCTTACACAATATCCAGTATTTGCTATATAGTGAAAGCACAAATTTCTAGTCACATCCAAATGTACGTTCGTTTGACAAGCAGGCAGCTTTTGCCTTCGGTGAGATGCTAATCCGTGAAGTAGTTACAGTGTACAAATGGACTGACAGCACCGTAGTAATCGCCCCATCTGTGAGGTGACATACAGGAAGGAAGCAGTCATACCAGATTGTGGATAAAGATGGCACGCTCCATGGTGCCAGCCTACAAAGTCACAGTATTTATGGATCATTTTTCTGTCTGCTATTCTGCTCAGAAAACCCAAGACCGAGTGAGAAAACATGAGCATATTGCTGCGTGTGTAACAACTACGCCTGTCAATAGATTAATATAACAAATCTCCGTAAATCGAATGACTTTCTTGGCATTACCATGATTCATCTCAAAGCGAGAATTTGCTGAAGTTTGCAAATATGGATGCTGATGTGTCCTTTCAACATTATTACAGACCTCCAACCCCATCATATGACAATTTTCCACGAATTAAACGAGAACTATGAATTTAATGCTTGCTAAGCTCAATTTAATATGTGTGGTGCATGTTCGGGTTATGAATTTAAAGGATTTGTCATCAGAAATTATGAGACACAGTTCTGGATTCTGTATAGAAAAAAGGAGAATTTACATTTTTAGACATTCATTTGGTTTGAAGGACACAGTTGTGCAGAAGCAGAAATCTTGAAAATCATCTTCAGTTTTAGTGTTTTCCATGATAGGAATAAATATAAATGTGTCTGTATTAGACAAAAATGGAAAATGATATAAACAACTTTAATGTCATAGGTGGGAAAAATGTTTTAATAATGTGTGATATTCAGAAAATGAATTAAAGATAATAAAGCTATATTCAAGCAGAGCCAAAGAAATACCCATTTAATTTACAGCAGAAATGATATATATACTTTAGCAATGTTAGTAATAAAATGATTCAAGTAAAGAGTGAAATTAAGCCAAAAAGGAGGACTATTATTATTATTATTATTATTATTCCAGTAGCTAGTTTACAAGATTTGATTAAATATCCCATCTTGAAAACTTAAGCTTTCAGTTTATTTTCTTCAATAAAACACCTTGCATTTCATCATATTTAAAGATTAAAATAATTCAATTAAATAATAAAACATTTTAATAACCAAAATTAAGTTAGTACCTCTCATCTAATGGGAAAATTGTGCAGCATCTGCCGTACCTGTTTGGAAACCAGCGCGAGGCTATTCCTCTCAGGCAGTCAGTAGGGACGCCCGAGACTGAAATAACTTGATTAATGTATGGCACTGCTGTCCGCCAAAGCCCCCCGGCTATGACGTATTTAAAACAAACAGCATTTTTTACTCGTTTCTCCCTTTAGCTTCCAAGACTTGGCTTTGTGGAGAGAATGGCTGGCATTGGATTTTACTCGTTTACACATGCATCGATTGATGATTTTCACTGCTATTGACTTGTGTTATGCTCAGGGTCAGCTTAGCTTGTTATAAACCCAAATTAGTTCAACCAAACTAAGCGATCTCAATGGTTTCACCACATCGTGTGACATTCAGCCCTGTGAGCTTTAATTGCTATCGGACACCATTTTCCCTGCTGACATTCTCTCAGAAATGAGTCAAAAGATAATCTAGGGGGTGTTTTGCCCTGCTGCCATTTTAAAGCTGTTATTTTACATTACAGCGACTAACACACATGCTCTAATAAAGATGGATGTGCCGAGGATCTATTCGTCCTCTTCAGGGGGAAAAGCGTGTGGCTATAGTTCCCAGAAAGGCTTCATTTCAAATGGCTGCACCGTAAGAAGGACGTGGCAGCTTTTAATTAACAACGAGGTTTGCTCTGGGAAAGTGGAAGATAACGTACCACTCAAAGTCGGAGAGAAGCACGCAGAGAAAGACGAATGGAGAGAGTAACGTTCTGTTCACATTAATTAAACGGCTGGCCGAGCCAGCCTCACTAAAATAGTGAGAAAGGAGCAGATCAAAAAGGAGGGAACACAAGCTTTCAAGCTCCAGGAAGTGGGGCAAAAAGGCTCAGGGCGGGTTTATGCATATACTTATCGACTCACAAACAACTTTTTGCTTTGCATAATTTAGTCTGTATGTGTAACACCTACAGTATTGTAGGTGTCTGCAACCTTAAACACTCATGGAGAAATCACTGGCGTTGAACAATAAGATGTAGAGATGAATATTAAATGTATTTGATTTAAATCTTCAATTCTCTTGCTATGCCAAACTACTTGGTGTAATCCTTGCTTGTCATCACACAGCCCACAGTAAACTTATGAGATATTTGGAAGTGAAACGCTCCAAATAAACCACACAGCACGGATAAAACCACTGGACAAAGTACACTTTGTATACTGTAAATGAGATGTTTTGATCAAATTTAATCTATTTGTGCTGTGGACAAGTGGGTATTTAGCACAACATGACAATTATGCCACCAAAAATTTAAACTAGTGGGGAAAAATGTATTATAAATAAATAAACAAACATTTTTAAAAACCTAAAATTATTATTTTTTTAATATTAATCATAAACATGCTTTTAATTTATAGAAATATTTAAATTTTATTCAATATTAGAAAATAAAATAATATTTTTAATTTTGTTTAATGTTTTTTTTAATTACATGAGCTCATTTACATGTATTGAAAAATAAACCAAAAAGTTGATTAAAAAAAACAATTAAAAACCTTTTTAAAAATAAATGTATATTTAATTATAATTTATATACATATTAAAATTTTCTAAAATTTAAAAATACAATAATATTTGAGTAAATATAACTTTTTAATTTGCATTAATATATATATAAAAAAGAATGCTCATTCCTTGACAAGTAATCAGACCCAGAAAGTTAGAGACAGATCCTCCCAGGAGACAAGCTTGGCCATCACATCTTGTAGTAACATGACTCTAGCAGAGGAATTGATCGAGTGGCCTCCCCGAGTCTCTTGCCCTGGAAATTTGCAAGCCAATCAATCAGTTAAAAAGATCTCTGTGGGTCAATGGGCCTTGATCGGAAAACGTGTATAATGCATCCTTAGCTTAGCACGGTGGGCTTAAAGCTCTTTTTAACACACCTGAAAAAAAGATTTATATGGGATAGCCTCATTTCTCTCTGGCTACCAAACTCAAATGACTCTAAATGCTCCTTGTACTTAGCAGATGTAGACTGAGGTCACATGCTTTCTGGAAGATACAAGATTTACACTCAGTTTCTAAATCTAGTAGTTTCCTCCATAAACAGCATTTTAAGGCATCACTCCTGATGAAAGGAAATGTACAAGAGGTTCTTTAAATGGGTCTTAAATTTAATTGTCATTTGGATGAAATAAAAACCATGCAAAATACAGTTTCATGGATTGTAAAAATGTATTTATGGGTGGTAAATATTCTTAATTCACCCACCATTTGGCAGTTATGCATGGCAAAAAGTTAATTTTGGCCCCCGTGGCCAACTCTCTCTTAATGGCATGATGGCATTTCTGCAATTATATTGGCACACCAGCATGGCACGCTG